TCAGCAAATATCAGGCAGGCAATAACTAGTGGCAACAATGTAGGTACATGAAGACGAAGTGCAACGTAAAGAGGATGAACAGAATGTATGAGCTAGTATAATTGAACAGTATGAATAAAAGTGCAGTATGAATAATATGGAATTTAATGAGTTAAATGGGCGTGAGTTAGCATGTGTGGGAGTAACTGCTCCTTCCAATAGTCAGGAGTGATTTTCTTTTTTAATTGGATCATGCTTCTTCACTGCCAAATCAGATGCTTCATTTACCCTCCTCAAGCACAAAATGTTTAAAACAAGTTTTAAAATATTTAATAATGTAAAATGGAGATAGAAGAGTAATCAACAGAAAACTCCTGACATAAAATGGTTGACTTGATTCTGTTCCTAGAAAGCTTTGCAATGCTTTACTCCTGCCAAAGGAGATACTGGGTAACAGTTTCCAAGACACTGAAGTGATTAAGTTTTGGTATACAAGCTGATTTTGCACTTGTCTACTTATGTCCGTCAAGGGAATTGGTTTCCTTCTCTCTCCTTTCTCAAGCCAATATATTGATCTCAATGTCACATTAAGATGGGTGCTATAATGCATATGTGAAGTTGTTGGTTTGGGGTTTTTTTTGTTGTTGTTGTTGTTTTTTGTTGTTGTTTGTTTGGTGTGTTGGGTTTTGTTTTGGGTTTTTTTTTTTTTTTTTTCCCCAAGGAGACTGCTTTGGTACATAACCAGTAAAGTTATTTCAGCAACTGAAATAAAGTATGCACTACAAGAATTAGGCTAGTATGACAGTAACAGAATAGTTGAACAGTGAAGTCTGGCCTGCATATCAATGATATAAAGTGCTTATGCCTAATTTTCGAAAGTGACTTACCACTGTGAAACCTAAATCATCTATGTGCTTTTGAAAATATTCACCATTAATTTACAAGTTAATGCCAGGCTAAACAAACTGGGAGTGGATAATTTTTCCAGCAGCAGTATAACTTTAAAAAAAGTTAGAAATAATTAAAAAAAAAGTTTGCTTAATTATCCCATTTAAATTTTGTTTTGTTCACAAAGCAACTGTCAGCACTGGAATGAGAGCTATGGGAAGTATCTAACCTACTGCTCTGCCATGCACCTCACACAGTCACAACAAAAACTGTACTTCTCACTATAAAAAAAGTTTTCAAGAAAGGAACTCAAACTACTTTTTGTTTGGTTTTGTTGTCGTTGTTTTTTTTTAAAAAAACCAATCAATCCCTATTGCACTGCTTGGAAATGTAGAAATACTTAACACCAATTTTTGAAGGTGTAATGGGAACCCAAAGATATTAAATTCAGTGCCTTTGAAGGCTTCTCCCATGACACTATGATTGCTTTTGCGACATGGGTAAAAAATGTCTGTCTCATCTTTTAAACAAGATGTCTCCCTCCTTCCTTATGACAAGTGGTCTTGTGAATGTCCATATAACCACAAAGAATAAAAGTATCATCTGTTCTCTTAAAGATTATGAAATATTTACTTGCCCATGACGGTCATCCAGACGTAGTCTTCAGGCTTTGCTGAATTCATGACCTCAAACCCTTTTGGTTTTAGGATGCACTAAAGTAATTTTGGGGCTGGGACAGTTTGATCCTAACAAAGACTGTCAAAGGTACCTTTGCTTGTCTGCCTGTGGGTGAACCAACTTTGCTTGCAGATGAATCACTTTCTGTGCTGAACAGTCCCTGAATTCTTCGCTACACAGCTGAGACGTTTTCTGGCAAAAGACAGCCAAGTCCCAGGAACTAAGCATGGATGGGACTTACAAAAAAGGGATTCTCAGCTCTGAGGCTAACGTCCTCTATCCATCTATTTGAAACTTTCAGATACTCGTGTTGGCCCAGGTATCTAGCACTGGAGGCCAATATGAGACATATAGAATTAGAAGGCCACTTCTGAAAGTGTTAAACCTTGAACTTCAGTCCCTATCTGCAAAATGCAGACACTAGTAATTTACTTTAGATGGCAATTCATATGTTTTCCCCTACTTCTAATCATACTTATGTGGAAACTCTCTGTATTCTGAAACAGGTCTTTCAATGCTCAAACCTGTATACAAAAGATGTCCCTTTTAAATTGGATTATTTTCTATGGATTGAGCCAGAGGGAAAAAAAACCCACGCAAACTCCTTTTGACTCAGAAAAAATTATTCCATGCTGCAAGCCAATCTCCCCACCTCAGACAACCTATTTCCCAACCCAATCCTGAGGAGTTTAAGATTTGCGTACAAAAATTCACCATGTGCTTCATAAATTTGGTTTATAAGAATTATTGTGCTTTACACTTGTCTTTTTTTCCAAATAGTGGTAGTTAGATCTGGACCTCAAGCCAAGCAGCAGATGTTGGGCTTTCCATGCAGAAGGCGGCTGCCAATGACCCAGAGGATCCCCTTTTACTAATGAAATGCCGCTTCCATATACTTACAGAGTCTGTTGAGAGAGAAGAAGAAGAAGTGCATGTAACATTTATGTAATTTTAGGACAAATCTGTGTGGGTCATCTCCTCACAGACAAAAGTCTGCTACATTTTGGAAGGGGAAGGAAGCAAAAGGCATTTTTTTATGGATGGCAAAACACAGCCAATGCAATGTTGGTAACTCATCCACGGGTGTTTATAATGTCTCAAGGACAGAACTTGAATGAGATGCAGAGATTTGACTTCTAAACCTCTGCACTAACTTATTATGTAATAATGTAGTCCTGTAATGTACTATTTAGACAATCTTCTCTAAAAGGCCTCATGAGAAAAGTTACGCTCTAATACATATGGATGTGATAACATCTATCTAGGCTAATCAACAGGCAGTTGTACAATTTAAAAATGCACAGTGAAGATTAAAGCTGTATTAGCTACAGACCTCAGGAGGCTTTCTGAAAGCCACACAAGCCCCAAAGAAGCCTGGTTCAATAAATATGTCCCTGGTCAAAACCATAAAATCTAATAGAGAATGTTTGTCAGGTCCAGTTGATGGTTTGCCTGCTTCACACTAGACTGGCATTTCATTGCCTAGACCAAATATTCGATAGCATGCACCAGGCTCCCTTGCTCTGTTCTGGTGCAAATTAATTAATTCTCTTGATAAGAAAACCCACAAATGGATGATTAGATAGTCTACACTGGGATCGAGATCATATATGCATATGGGTATGAACTGTGTCACATTTGGCTCCCTCAGCTTCCTCTGGTCCTCTAAGAGCACTTGTCAAGAGACTTGAACAGCAGTAACAAAATCCCTTTGTCTTGGGGAACACATGTTGCTCTCCAAAACAGCAAGAACTATAAGCACAGTTAAGCTCAGCCTATGTCAGAACAATTCTCGGAATACGTCCCAGAGTAAGCAGCATCTCACCAAGAATGCTCCAGTTCATAGATGTTGAAACTCAAGTGCCTTCCCCTTACCGTACAGTGGGCACGCAACTAGAAAGCACCAAAAGACTTAGATCAGAGAAGGACTAGGAAAGAACAACAAAACATTAATTTACAGCCAGGAATTAAGTGGGCGCCAGTGCAGACTGAAGACCACAGATAGAATACACTTCATGAGAAAAATCTGGCCAAAAGCAGAGCTGCATTCTGAATGGACTGAAGGTATCGCACGGTACATGATTGTCTGCATGAATCAGCCCATGCAGTAATCCCAAATAGAGGTGGCATAAATAGTAGATGTTAGTTCTGTATCAGAGGGGAAGGTCCTTAGTTGCCTAATAGATAGCATTTACTTTTCAATATTTCCTACTCACCCACTGATGCCCAAAGTAACCCCAAGCTGGGCACAAGCTGAGGCCTTGCAGACAGGTTACCAAGCATGGCTTTTTGTGAGACCAAATAGTAGTGCTGTCAATTGTCTCAGTATTTTTTGCTTTTAGCAGTGCTTCAGCTCCTCCCACAAAGATTCTTACCTCTCATTTCAAAAGTTTCTACCCTTTATGGTTGTGGAGAAAAGCCTGCAAACATGACTTTAATATAACCTACTGGGTCAGAAAACAAGCCAAAGAAAAAGAACCTCACACTTTTTTTCCCTAACAAATAAATCATTATTTTGAAGATTATCTCAGAGAGTTTATGGTAACTTGACTCAAGGTTTTTGAATGACTAAGGTTAGAAGTACTTTAAGGTATCAAACTAGCAAGCTCCCCAAATAAAAATAAACAAAGCTCTCTCCACAGCTATTCTGGAGAAGATTAACTCCTTTCCTGCTAACTACATCTCTCATTGCTATAAACGCGGAAAGCAATGACAGCTTTCAACTAACCCTCTGTCCAAAAGGCCAATATATCCCATCTATAAAAAACTCTCAGGCCAAATGATATAATCCTCTCACACTGTGATGTGCGTATTCCACCATCACATTAGAATTACCAGACTTCCAGTTACTCATACCTTCATTGTAAATAAGAAAATGGATGTTAGACTATCAAAAGCTGCTTGAGGACTTTCTCAGAGGCATTACAAATAATTTAAACAAATAAGATTAACAGAGAACATGACTGTGTCGTTGCCCTATGTCCTGGTGGTTCTTAATTGTTCCCAGCGCTCTTGATCAGAACATCACATGCAAAGAGGAAAATGCAATTTTAATGAAAAAGCTCCTCTTCCTCCAAAATCAACACAAATGACCATACAGCATTTCCATCAAGGTCAAGTATTTATAATACCAACAATGCACTGTGACTTCACAATTATTTAAAGGATCTTTTGCTTGAAATAATGAAAATCTTGGATCTCCCACTGTCATTGTTACAAAGGTTGCACAATCAGATTGAGGTACCATGAAACTTTCACTGCCCTTCAGCTCTAGTTTGGTCATCCTTTGATTAATATCACATTTATCATGAATCTACATTAATTTGAAAAAAGGCCTCCCACACACACCAAAAATAATCTGCATCATGCTCCATCTTCAAAACTGTTACACAAATTACTGCTGTCCCACGTCACACCACAGACATACATAAAAGAAAAACAATGACATTACTTACTAGGAACTCCAGACACCAGCCGTAACGGACGTAATACTCGGAAAGCCCGCAGTGCTTTAACATCAAATCCGGCACCTTTTCCTCCTATTGAATTCCCCCCATCTGCTTTGGTTGCTTGTTCTAAAATTGCACTAAAAAGCCTGCAAAAAGAAAGAGGAAACAATCTGTAGGCAGACAGCAAGGCTTGGGCTAAACAGGAACAGAGATCATCATCATCATAGCACCCAAACTATCTCACAGACCTGTGAAGAGTGTCACATATCTCAGTCGACATTCGCATATGGTGGAGGAGAGACAGACTCTTCCCATATGCAATAGCCTAATGGCGATGTCTGTATCATTTGCAAAACACTTGTTTCTGGAGCAGACTTAAACATGACATGCTCCTCCTTCAGCCTCATGGCTCCTTGCAGCCAGCTATAGACTACCCCAGCGACCAGTCTGCCTGGTGGCACATGGAGGGGCGCTCCCTGCCCTGCGCCCTGGGGCATGCCAGGTGCTTCAAAATGGCCATTCTGGCAATGCCTTGTGCTGAATTTAAAGGATCACCAACAGCAGAGCACGTGAATCAGATTTTGAAGGCAGTCTCCAGGCTGTCCTTACCAGACACTCTGGACATACTCAGTGGGAGTTGAGTGGAAAGGCAAGAAAGCACAAATTTTAGGTTTTGCCCTTTCTGCTGCCAATACCTTGCTATCTTTCTTAACCAACAATCCACCCTGGGGAAAAAATCATCATCCATAATTAATCCAGTCATTAATTATGTCACCTATTTTTACGAGGACTTAAGATTCACCAAGGTCACTGCAGGTAGAACTTGGTGTAAAACTCAGGGATCCTTCAAGGTGCAAAGTTTTAGGTAAGGGAGCATGCTCAGATTATCTGCTTGTGTATCCATTTCTAAATCCCCTGATGCATTGGCTAGGGAAAGCACAAAACTGTAGGAGTCTTATTATTAGAACGTTTCATTATACCAGTCTTAATGTTTTATCCTGGCTAGTAGGAGTAGCTGCTTTAAGGAGAAGACGTCTCACTTTGAAAAGGCAGAGCAAGGCAGAAAAGACAATTTTCTTCTGTGAAAGAGCTGAAGGCTCATCCTATGTGTTAACAAGAACTTCATTTAATAAATTAGCTTTCAGGAAACAGCTTCCATTTTTCTGGTAAAACATTAGTACCTTTGGGGGAGGATGGATTCCTCATGAATTTGCTAATGACATTGCTTTCAGCCTTGAAATCATCAGCTTGAACCCAGCCAAATTCAGTAGACATTAAAAGCTGTTCCAGTCTAAATGGATGTTTGGTGCTCTGTAGAAAAAGCTTGCCTGCGAGTAGCAGAGACCTCGTGGCTCATAGCATGCCATGGAGGTACCAGAGGTAACTTTAAAGGAGCTGCCTAGGATGCCAGAAACAGCCTCGTTGGAGTGGCCTGGATTCAGCACTGATTTCTCTCTCAAACTTTGCAGTCTGCAGTGCCTCTGTCAGGATCTCCTCTATGCGCCCTGACTGCCATATTCCACAGAGAGCCCCCAAACCGCATCTCAAGCAGAGACTGAGCTGCCTGATTGCTTTACGAGGAGCTCCAATCCCTGTAGTCTGTGGTTAAAACTTACTGATAGGGCCACAAACATAGGGAGCTTGCCCTGGACAGAAAAAAGAGGATTCATTTACTGAAGCGTCTAAGCCAACACATTTCTCCATCACTAAATCCACACAAAAACGTGGATTAGGGAAGTGCAAATGCAAAATTAGTTTCTTAAGTGTTTGGGTTTTTGTTTTTTGTTGTTTTTTGTGTTTTTTTTTTTTTATTTCATATAAAGTCTTATAAAACTTGTCAGCTGTGCCTGAGGAACTCCTAACTGGTTCTATGGAAAGCCTCAACTTCAAGCACTGCAGAAAGATTTAACAACTAGGTAACAAGCGTGGGAAATACTGTGTGTGGGGAGGTTGGATGCTGAGTTTGTAGGTGTTGCAGACTGAGAAGCAGGATGCAGAGAAGACAAAAACAGAGCCTATGAGAAACACTGCGTTGACTACAGATACCACAGAGAGAGATAAACAAGGGCTGATGAAAAGAACATGAATTACTGGAATGTATGTATTTCTTGAGCTGTGTACACAAATTATACAGTTGCAATTTTCTGCTGGTCTTCAAAATAGAAACACTGTAGGTCAAATTTGGCCTAATGTATTTCCAGTAAGCTAGTGATAAAGCTCTAGAAATGTACTCTGTTTCTTATTCAAACACTTCTATCTTCCTAGTCAACGGAATTCCCATACCAGATGATGAGTGACATACCTATACAACAGTCCCAGTCTCCTGGGATCCTCTGGAGGAAAAAGAATTCACTGCAAAAGGTTTCTTATGCTATTTTTCAGCTCTCTTGCAACACTGAAGACAAGAAATCTCAAGGAACTCTGAGTCAGCAATTGTGCAAAACTGAGAGTCCGTTCTCCTGGTCCCCATCATCACGGGCCCCATATTTTACCAAACAGCAGCTCGTGGCAGCTGGCACCAAGGGCGTTTCTCCCACCTCTTATGCAATGAGCAACCCATGGGCTGCTCTAGAATTCTGCTTTTTAAGAAAAGCTAAATGTGCTAAATTAATTCAGGAGGAGCAGAAACACAACCAGTAGGACAGCTCGCTCCACTGGAGCTAGAACCTGCCTTCCCAGACTTATGCAGCTCCACTGCAGGCCAGATGGCCCTGTTTGTGTGCTCCGGTGTTGACGTGCTAAACGTGCTGTCTTGAGGTACCCCCAGTCATCTGCCTACTATACTTCAGGAATAATTTGCAGTAAT